GTCAGCTTGCTTAAATGAAGCAAGACCCATGTCACACAAGCCAACAAAACAATACAGTCTGGAAGAACAATGATTTCTAGTAAGGAAAACGAATAGATTTAATAAAGAATACAGCTGGGTGTGATGGCTCACACCTATAATCCCAGCCCTTGGGATGCTGAGGCAGAAGGGTTGGTATAAGTTTAAGGCCAGCCTGGGCTACATAATCAGTTAGGACCAGCCTGAAATACACAGCAAGACACTGTCTCAAATTAATTAATTAATAATAATCCAGTAAGGCAATATTTGAAATATTCAGAAACCAAAAAAAACTGTTGTCTGGAATCATACCACTACAAAGCTGAGTAAATAGTACATGATACTTATAAACTACCATTTGAACAGGTACAACAGTTACACTGAACAAATGAATTCATCAGGTTATTTATTTTTTTTTTTTTTTGGCGGAACTGGGGATTGAACTCAGGCCCTTGTGCTTGCCGGGGAAACACTTATTCCACTGAGCCATCTCCCCGGCTAACAATTGAATTCATAGTTGATAGTCAGCAGCCTCTTTTTTGGTACTGGGAATCAAACTCATGAACTTGCGCTTGCCAGGCAGGTGGAATGCCACTGAGCTATCTCCCTAGCCCCAGCAGCCTCTTTTATTTAGCTCTGTTTTGTTATTTTAAGTGTATTCTGTGGGACTGATTCATCTCCCACTAAGTGCAATTGGAGGAAAGAGGATGTATATTTTTACTCTTTTAGCTACTGTTTCTGGTAGTAACTTCCATTTCTCTAATTTTTTTATGCTACTATATCCTGAGTTACCATTTTAGACATTATCTGTTGATTTCCCAACAGTTCCTCTCATACCACTTTTCCGCTCACCCCTTCTATTTTCTCAATATAGTTGTATCAGTACTTTTAGCTAGATCTACAGACAAAATGTATTTCACTATGACAATGTTTATAAAAGCCTAGAACACAAATGCTTTAGAACACAAATTCTTGTTACATTTCCTTTTTTGCATTGCCTTTTACTTTTCCTAGTTAATGCCTTCTTTGTGTCTTCATATATAATTTTCAACATTCTTTTATTCTCTTGAATACTGTATTAACCCTCCAGTACATAAAACTCACTTTTTTGGTCCCAAAGTTCTTCATTGTCTTGCTTCCATCTGTGTTTGCTTTGTGGCTCTGGGCATGAGTGGGATCCTATGACTTTTCTTTTCCACTCTCCTCTTAGGCATCACTATTTCCTCAATCTTTTTTTTTTTTTTTTTTTTTGGTGGAACCAGGGATTGAACTCAGGCCCAAGACAAGCGCTTATCTACTAAGCTATTTCCCCGGCCCCAGTCTCCTGAATCTTATCCTCATCTTTTTAAAGATTTATTTCTTATTGTACTGGAAGACACTCTCCAATAGCTTCCTAAGAAGTGATGCCTTAAAGAGATAACCTTTTCTTTAATTCCTTATATAAAGGACAAGGTCTTTTTGTGAAACTTTATACCTGATAGTTGGGCTTAGACTATTTTTGCAGAGGTTAGAAGATGTTACTCCATTATCTTCTAGTCTCTCAGGGCATTTCTTTAGCAAAATTATATTGTTGTTACTCTTGTCCTTTAATGTTACCTGTTTTATTTCTTTTAATGTATTAAGGGGGCTTCCCAGTTAGCTCAGTTGTTAAAAGCACCTGCTTGGGCAAACTCAGTCAGGTGCAGGGGACCGTGGTTTGATCCCCAGCTCCATAAGCCACACCAGACCCGCTCTCAATATAGCCCAAGATAGCCAAAAAAAAAAAAAATCGTTTAATGTATTAAAATATGTGTCATAATATTTGTGTTACAACACTTAACCTCATAATACAGTTAAATTGGTGTGGTGACTGAAGATTTATAAAGCACAGAATAATGGAGGCTGGGGAGATGGCTCAGTGGAATAAGCACTTCCCTGACAAGCACAAGGGCCTGAGTTCAATCCCTGGTTCTGCAAAAAAAAAACAAAAAACCATAAAACAAAATAATCGAAAGAATATGATTAAAAAACATCAGTAACCCTGCCACTTTGAGATAACCAGTGCTGTCATATAGAAACATTTCCTTCCGATACTATCTGGGTATACATATTTTAACATAATTGAGATAGGCAGAGATTTTTCTAATCCCTTTCATTTCACTATATTACTGCTTTCTCTAGATAAATATTTTTGAGGGAATTTCTAAGGAATGTATATTTTATCATTATATAGTTGAAGTATTCTTTTTAACTTTTCATTGCTTTTCATTTATTTTGTCTTTTTCAGACAGGGTCTCACTAAGCAGTTCAGGCTGGCCTTGAGCACACTTTGTAGCCCAGGATGGTCTCAAACTCACAGTGACCCTTCTGCCTCAGCCTCCCCAGTACAGGGATTGCAGGCGTGTGCCACCACACCAGGGATTACAGGCGTGTACCACCACACCTGGCTTCTTTGCTTTACCAACAGTGTAAAGCGCATCTGTGCCAGTACAGTAATGTGTGTACATAATCCATCCCAGCACTCTGGCAGGCTGAGGCAGGTGGATGAAATGTTCTTGCTCAGCCTGGACAATTTAACAATTTAGTGAGACCCTGTTTCAAAATAAAAAAATGTTACAGATGTAGTTCAGTGCAAAGCACGTTGGTTCAATCTCAGATATATATATATATATGATTCAGTATGTCCTGATTCAATACTTTACTATTTCCTCATAATATATTCCTAGAAAATGACCTAATGTTACTAATTAGTACTTACAAAATTGCCTATTTAACTGTACACTTGATATACTATCATCATGTTTTTATTTATTTATTTTGTGTAGGGTCTCACTACACAGCTCAGACTCCACTACTCAGACTCGTAGTGATCCTCCTGATTTCTGTCTCCCTAGTGCTGGGATTACAGGCATGGGCCACCACTCCTGGGCTCCCGGATGTCCAGGGGCGGGGCCAGCGCAGCATGCGGTGCCAGGGATTGAACCCTGGCCCCTGTGCTTACGTAAGCAAGTGCTTAGTCCGCTGAGCTATATTATCAGCCCTTGTCATCACTTCTATTGTTATATTTTATTTTCCCAATTCTTTCACTAATATAGTACTTATTTATGGTGAAAAATGTTATTTTACTTATGTATGTATTACTAAGCCTGCAGTGTTTAAGTCTACAGTAGATGTGTTATTATGCTAGTACTGAATAACATTTTAAAGCAAAATTCTTTATTCTGATAGTTAATTTCTGCAAAGGACAACTCCATAGTATGGAATTCTCTGACAGACAAGCATAAGTTCAAACAATTAGATACGTTATTGAATATTCAGCGGGATTTTCAGATTGCTACAACACTGAGATTGGAGGACAAAATCCAGAAACTTCAGAAACAGCTTAGTGATTTGAAATTGTCAAATAAAACTATGAAAACTCAACTATCAAGAGTAAACATCCTGAAAGTAAGTAAAGGAAGTGGGACTTAAAAAAATTACTTAAGGCTGGGTATAGTGGTGCACGCCTGTAATTCCAGCACTTGGGAGGCTGAGGCAGGACGACTGCTGCAAGTCTGAGGCCAACCTGGGCTACAAAGTGAGTTGAAGGTCAGCCTGAACTGCACAGTGAAATCCTGTCTCAAAAAGACAAAAAAATTTTTTTCACTTAAATTTTGGTCCATTCCAGGCTGGTGAGATGGCTCAGGGGTCTAAAGCACCTACTTAGAACAAGCTTAGTAAAGCGCAGGGACCGCGGTTCAATCCCCCAGC